ATGTCTGAATTTACATACAGAGCATCTAATCACTTATGCAGGGCATGGGCTACTGGTCAGGAAAGTCTGCTCTGAGGTTATTACTGTTTTGTTGACCTTTCTGAAATGCATATGTCTTACAGCTACAGGACTGGTCAAAGGCAGAGTTCCTATTTTCTCATGCCCTCCCCCCGCCCCTCCCCACAACCTCCTCAGTGTAATGCAAACACACTCCACAAGGCAAAGCTATTAGTAAATGGATGGTGAGTCTCAAACTGCACACCACCCAGACCTGAGTTCCCGACTTCACTGGGCTGTCTGGATAAGTGTCCAGGCAAGGATGTTGCTGGACTCACCGATCTCAAATGAGTGTTCCAGCAGCAGCCCCACAGTGCCGCAGCCTTCACCCTCTCGACCTTCAGCCCCTGCCTGCAGGTGACAGAGAGAGCCCCAAGTGAGAACCAACAGAGCCCTTAGCATGCATGACCCCAGGACAGACCGGCAGGCCGAGAAATGAGACTTATTTTCATACTCATGTCCAAATACTGACATTTGCCCACGGTTCCACCGGAAACCACCCATTTCATGAAAACTCAGGATCTGGATGGTCCCCAGAAAACCAGAGCCTGCAAACAAGCATAACCTCCTTTCCAAGGTAACTGTCTCCAGGTCACTTTGATGCCTAGTATCATAAATATTCATGAGTTAAAGGGCACCTTGCACTTCCTTCCCAAGCTAATATCCAAGTGGCCTTGTTTTCACCGTAACAGCCCCAATAGCCACGATGCCACCCGAGTTTCACTTCTTATCACACATATACAAGGTTCCACGCCGTCCTTTTCTCCAAATCTCCAAGTTTCTTCTACCTCTGCTGTGTCCTCCACCCTACATCGTCGCACCTGCGCAACCTCGTTTCCAGATTTTAATCCGAGATCAAGATCCCGCCCTCCTCATGCATATTCAAGAGGCAGAACGCCTATCTTTGGAGAACCCCTCCCGCTTTTTTCATTTTAGCCGCCTGGACGTCTCTCTCTCTTTCTCCCAGATTCCATCCGGGCCACAGCTCCTCATGCATATTCACGACTGCGGATCCCCAGGGTTAAAACGTTGCGAGGACATTCTGGCCCCAACCTTCTCCTTGGCTGCAGCTCGTTTTCACCGCACCCAACGCCCGGGTGCCAAGATCCCATCCGAGCCCTGCCCCCTCATGCATATTCACCACTAGAGCCTTCTTAACTATCCTCTCGCTTTCTCCCAGTCATGCGACCTCTGCCCATGCAGAGAACTGCAGCCTCGCTTTCCGCGGCTTTTTCCTCTTTCCTCTCTGCTCTGCGCAGCCTCGTTCCCACTTTAACCGACCTCCAGGCCCGAGCCCCAGGATTTCCGTCGGCCCCGCCCCTGTGCCGAACCAATGAGTACTCACCCCCCGCACAGCGGCCCCGGACCGGCAACCACTGCCCCGTGCCCGGCTGGGGGCTGCGGCCGCCATCAGTAAGAGCAGGAGCAGCCTAGTAGTACCGGCTCCGGCCGCCGCCATCTTGGCTTCTTTCCACCAGCCAACGGGCGTGAGTGAGTCGAGCGCCGCAAAGCACGCCGGGAGGAATCGGCTGCATCTTACGGACCAAGCGCTTGGGCTGGTTTCTGGAGTCTGCGCACTAGCGCCTGCCCGCTACGGAGCCTGACGTCAGCGGGGCGGCCGCTTTTCCTCCGGGCACCGCCCTCCCTGGTGACGTTACAACACTGGTGTCTCCCGGTCCGCCGTATTGTGACGTCACATAGTCCACGGCCCCGACCGACGGTTTTCTCCCCTGGCACTTCCATCCGCTCCTCCCAAGGGGCGAGACGTTGCGATGAACCGGGGGCACAAGCCTAAGCCGACCCTGGGTAGAGCAGGTGAGGCGGGACCTGGTAGGATGGCAGGTGAGAGGCAGAACCAGGCCTAGAGGGGTTAGACTAGGTCAGGGAACCAAGTGAGGGATGGGGCCAGAGATCTCTACCCTCAGCCAGGGATCCCTTGCCCAGCCTCCTAGAATAGACCCCCGAACTTTGCCCACCTGGAATGCACCCTCTTCCAGTCTGCCCCGTGGACCCGCCTGGATGCCTCCAACGCCACCTTCTGAGCGGTGAGTTCGACCAGTTGCGAGACTTCCCCATCTTTGAGAGCAACTTCCTGCAGGTGTGGAGCCCCAGAACCCCCTCAGCTGGAGCCTGGACCTGAGTTCCAGCCTCCTGACTTGGGAACCCCTGCTGTCTCTACTTCTGACCACTTCCCCATAAAGTCCATCTCCTGGGATTCCTGACCAGTCCCCTCCCCACCCCACCNCTCACAGCTCAGCTGTTAGGCTATTCTGAGGCCGGAGGCCTGGCAGGCCCAGCGCCCAGCGCAGTGGGGCTCACCATCCTCCTGCCCACGGCCCCACGGCTCCAGCCACACTGGCCTCTGCTGTCCCCTGGCCTTGCCTCGGGTGGGACCAGCCTCCTCCTGCCCCAGCACTCCAGCGCCTCAGCGCTTCTCTGGCAGCACAGGCCCGTCCCCTCCTCAGCACCAGACAGGCCTCCTGGGCACATCTGCCCAGAGCGCTGCCACCCAAATGCCCCTTGTTTGCCTCCTGAGCCTGGCAGGAGACCCCTGCCTGCCCCCCTCCTTTCCAAACCACCCTGATCCTTTGAAATCTCTTCCACACCCGCCTTCTCCAGCCTCACAGCCCCAGCCCAACTCAGGCCTCATCTTCTCCCCCAGACCCTGTCCCAGCCTCTTCCAGGGCTGTCCATCCCTTCCAACCACTGCCCTCCTCACTGCACTTCCTCCAAACAGGCTTCCGGTCAAGACTGACACTGCCTGTGCTGCATCTGCCCCCCACCCGGGCGCCCTGGTTCCCAGCACCGCCAGCTCTGGGCCGGCCGTTCACTGGGATGATGCCCGTGACCACCAGGAGTTGACACAGGCATGGCAGGTGCAGGGCTTAGCCCAGGTGCCAGGGGGACAAGCACGGAGGCCGCCGGAGGAGACAAGCAGGCCCCACACGCAGGAGGCCCAGGGGATGAGGAGCAGGGCAGAGGCATGAGGACAGGAGGGGGCTTGTTGGGAAGAGGGCGGGCGGGCGGAACCCAACTCACATATTTGGCAAAAAAGGACTTCTGCTCCTGGGGGTTCTTGGCCTTCTGGGCCTGCTCCATCTCCAGACGCTCGATGAAGGCTGCCGTCTCAGGGCTGGGGTTGGCGGGGGAAGGAGACAGGTGAGGAACTAGAGTCAGCAAGCGAGGACACTGGCAAAGGCAGGGTATGGCCAGGCGGGGGCTGTCTGTGCCCCTCACCCTGCACCTACGCCCTTCTAGCCCTCACCCTGGAGCCGTGACCGGTGGCTGCAGCTGCACGGAGGTGTTGAACAGCTCCAGGTCCACATCCTCCACCTCGTGGCCCCGGCAGCCCCCAGGGTGCGTCACCACCGACACACCCACCACGTTGCCAGCCACATCCACGTGCAGGGTCAGCTGGTCCGAGAGGTGCGACTCCACCAGGGAACACTGGAGGCAAGGGGGTCAGGAGAGGAGAGAGCAGAGGCTGTTGCACAGGCCTTGCCAGCACTGGGACCTGAGCCTCCTGCCCCTTCCATGGCCCCAAAAGCATCTTTCAAAGGCTCCATGGCTGCCTTTGGGCATAAGCCTAAGCCCATGAGACCCTGTGCTGCCCCCTCAAAGCACAAACCACCCAGATTGTCCCTCTGCAGCCCAGGAGACCCTTGAGGGCAAAGCCAGGTCCAAGTTTTCCCCCTCCATAAACACTGGGGTATGCATGGTGGAAGCCAGGCTGAAATGGGTGGGAGGAGCAAGGATGGGGGACTAGCCTCGTCACTGACTCACTGCGGGGATGAAGGAGGAGACAAAGCCACCAGCTTCGGGGCCATCAGGAGCCCCAGGCCGACGCGGGACCCGGACACGGTACAGACCATTCAGGGCTGCCACATCCTGCAAGCAGGCAAAGGAGGTGGCGGTGAGAGGGGTGATACCCAGCCCCGCCAGGCCCGGACTCCCACTGGACCCACAGCCAGGAAGGGCACTCTTGCTCGTAGCCAGTTGGGCAACACTGCCCTTCCCCAGTCTCACCCAGCCAGGGTCTCCTACTCTCTGGGCTGGCCAAGCTGAGTCTGCCCAAGACTCTTCCCACTGGGGCGAACCTGCTGGTGGGTAAGGCAAAGAGCCACTGGGGTGCCCCACCTGGATGAGAAGTCAACAGGAGAGCAGAGCCAAGCCCTGCGGTGGAATGAGTCCCAAAGGCACTTTTCGCAAGCCTGGATCCAGCCACTCCTGGTGCCCACCGCACACCTGGACTCCCCAGTTACATGAGCAACAAATTCTATTAGGGGGTGGCTGTGACAGAGAATCATGTGGGCACCACATAGGAAGCACTTCACCCTGACATCTCCCACAGGACGGGCACCCATGGGCATACTAGCATGCAGAATAAAGCCTGTGCCCCCAGCCTCCCTTGCAGTTACATCTGGCCAAAGGGACAGAATGGAAGTGGATTGTGGCAGCTTTCACTCTTCCCTAAAATATGGCTGTTCCCTCAGCCCCTTCTTCTTCTTCTCTATCCTGCTGCCTAGAGCCCCATCAAAGCCCCAGCAACCCCCAACACCATCCACAGGGAGAAGCCCGGCCCTCGAGGAGGCTGTGAAGCAAGGCTACAAGAGAAGTAATGTTCTCTTGTTCGACCATGGCTATTGTGGGGATCTTTTCTCCTTGCAAGCAAATCTCATTCTAACCAACTGTGAAGCATCTTGGCTGGATCTGGAAGGGTGAGAGGAGGTGGTCA